TTCTTTTGGGTGTATTGTGATATTCTTGTTCGTAAATTAAGTACTGGGTTGTTTTTGTTAGTGTTTCTTGTTAGTGTTTCTATTACTGGGTTGGTATAATTTTTGTGTTTACGAAAAGTCGAGAAGTTTTGGGGCTCTTGTTTATTTGATTAAGTATTTGATGAATTATTGTGTTTTTTCTTGGGTTCTTGATGATTTTTTCTTTGTTTGTTGACTGGTAGTAGAGCCATTTGCGATTTACTTAGTCTTAATTCTGCATAATCATGAGTAACAAATTATTATTTTTGTTTAGTGCAGATGGAATGCATTGAATATATCTTGTCTTTTTGTATTGAACTATGTAATTTATCTGAGTTAATTGAATTCTGATTTGTTGTCATTTCAAATTTTATCTAATTGACTATAAATCTTGCGCGAATATAAAGATATGCTAGCTTTTGGGGGGTACAAGTATAAAGAGTACCATTGAGTAGTTCATTTCATTCTTTGCTTACACCGTTAACTACCATCCTCTGGAATAGATCTGCGGGTTTTAAGTTGATTTTGATGGAGTGCTGTTTTAGCTTGTTTGGTTCTAAAATTTCCGGGTTTTGTTAAGTTAGAGGTGAAGGACCATTCAAAGTGAGGGATTTGGTTTCGCGATGATCAATAGTGCAACAACGTTAATCTAGTTAAGACTTTTAAGTAGTTGCTTCAATGATTATGTAAATCCATAGTTAAGTCTTTGTACTTTGTGAATATTTGGAACTTGACATAGGAGTACTGAGTCTCCTGACGTCTACGTCTTTTCCCAAATTTTGTTTTTGCAGAAATGGTTGAAGCAATGAAAAGTGTTGCAAAATTGGATGTAGAACTGACTGTTGAAGAGAGGAATTTGGTGTCAGTCGGTTATAAGAATGTTATTGGGGCAAGAAGGGCATCATGGAGGATTTTATCTTCTATTGAGCAAAAAGAGGAGAGCAAGGGGCACGAACAAAATGTGAAGAGGATAAAAAGCTACAGACAGAGGGTTGAAGATGAACTCACTAAGATATGCAATGACATATTATCAGTGATTGATGAGCACCTCCTTCCATCTTCCTCAACTGGAGAGTCTACCGTTTTCTATTACAAGATGTGTGTTCCTTTTATTGACAAATTTCTTTCTCTCTTTCTATTTGCATATGATGTTTGAACGGTAATTTGTTCTCTCAACGACATGATATGTTGGTCAAAATTATAATGTTCGGTGTCTTTCCATGTGATTTTCTGTGAACGGCTTATTTTGTGGCTGCCTCTTTGCTGCGTAAAATAAACTATTTTATAAGAGAGGAATAATTTATGGAGTCATCTGTTCCCACACATTTTATAAATATTCGAATTGTTGCTTACATTTAATAGATTTTAAGTCGCTTTTTATGCATTTTCTTCTACCCTCAATCAAATTTATATTTTTTATTGGTCACTTTTACCATATTTAACTTGCAGCATAAGTTGTGATTTTTTATTTTAAATAAATTTGAGTCTATGTCCAGAAAATGAGATCACCAGCATCATTTAATTATATTCAATTAAATTTTCCTCTAGGAAGGGAGACTATTATCGTTATTTAGGTGAGTTCAAAACAGGAGATGATCGCAAAGAGGCAGCTGACCAGTCACTCAAGGCTTATGAGGTTATTATTATTATTTTTTTATCAAGTTATGACTTCCTTAGCTATAGTTATTTTGTCTTGCACGTTTTGTATCGTTTCTCGTGTTTATGTTCTTCTTAACATTAAGCCAAAATCTGATGTTTGGGATTTATGGAAGAGTTATCTTTCTTGGCCGCATCTGAGGAACTGTAAAGTTTACTGAAATTGATCTTTGTATATTGCAGGCTGCCACCAGCTCTGCTTCCACAGATCTTCCCCCAACTCATCCCATCAGACTTGGTCTGGCTCTAAACTTTTCTGTCTTCTACTATGAGATCTTGAATTCGCCCGAGAGGTTTGTCAAATCTCTCTATCCTCTCTCTATTAAAGACGCACATGCATATACTTGTGTGCTCATATACACGCAATTAGGGACCCCACCATGTCTCCTTTTATAAAATTAAGCTATTAGCATTTTCTATTGGTTTGTATTTAGTTAAATCAAAAGCTCATCGTAGAATGTTGTGTGTAAAGAAGTAAGAACTTTAAGGACACGTCCAATGTTAAATTTGACACATCGATTAACTTTAGTGGAACCAAACTTTCAGAAGCTCGTCACCTAAGATTGAAGTTTAATGCTATTTTCTTGTAGTGTAAATTGTAATGTATGTTTGATACGTAGTATTAGAAACGACTGGAAGGTGTATGCCTCAATATTTTAGCTACATATTTTTCTTCTTATTGATGTCCAATACTACACAATCCTTCTTATCAAACATGCTAATGTTTGTGTTATTCTTTATTGAGAATTATCATGCTGTGATAGGGCATCGGTGGAGCGGTTTGTTCGAAAACTCGAAGCAATTGCAGAACTTGATAGCCTCAATGAAGAATCCTACAAAGACAGCACTCTCATCATGCAACTTCTTAGAGATAATCTTACATTATGGACATCAGATCTTCCAGAAGAGGGAGGTATGTTGTCGTGCACTTTCTTCTCAGTAGTTTTTCAATCTTTTTCTCCATTCCCCAAATGGCTCTAGAAATGTTAAATTATGTTGGAAATTCCCATGTGTTCTGAATATGTCTAGGGTCCTGAATAAATTGAAAAGTGCTTGGAAAATTTCGATTGCTATTTTAATAAATAAATTTTAGATAAAAAATCCATGCAAGGCTCGAGTCTCTAATAAATATGGTTAAAATCACTTCTACAATTTCCACTTCTTTTTTACTGAATGGAAAATTGAACTGATAAGAATACTTTTGACATGTCACTCGTTGGCAGGTGAGCAATCCAAGGGAGATGAAGCTCAAAGGGAGGTCAGATTTTACGACTATAATCCTGTTCTCCCCCCAATTTATAACTATATATTTAAGTCACTCGTTTCACCATAAATTATCAATTCTATGTTTTCACTAATTACATGCACCACGGCTCAATAATATGGATCTACCATCTTGTTGTGTTAAATATTCGAGTGTTGAAATTTTCAACTTCCTCTCCATGATAGCAGCATTTACTAAAAAGAAAAGTTTAAAAAAATTCAGATGTACATCCCAATTATTTAATATTAATTACTTGTGAGTTTAGCCATTAGAATTTTTTTCCTTATAAATTAAATTCGACTTGCCATTGCATAATTTCACTTGCTTCTGTTGCTGGAACTTTGCAGAGCTAGCTGGAGATGTAACGCGAAATGATTATTTGAGAATTATAGACTTTTCGACGGATGTGCTAGAATGCTAAAATTGCTGTTATTTTAAATGAAATACAAGGTACTGATTTATTTATTTTCTTGCTGAAGAACATCTTGAACTTTTGTTGTCTTTTCCATTTCCAATGAAAACAGATTAATGTTGAAATCTTAAACCCTCCCCTCCCCATTTTCCTTTGCTCTTTCTACCGATGGATGACCTTTTCTTATTTTATTATCGTGAATCTACTTAACATGCACAGCGGAAGCCACCTCGCCAAACAAGCTTTTGATGAAGCAATTGCAGAACTTGATAGCCTCAATGAAGAATCCTACAAAGACAGCACTCTCATCATGCAACTTCTTAGAGATAATCTTACATTATGGACATCAGATCTTCCAGAAGAGGGAGGTATGTTGTGGTGCACTTTCTTCTCAGTAGTTTTTCAATCTTTTTCTCCATTCCCCAAATGGCTCTAGAAATGTTAAATTATGTTGGAAATTCCCATGTTTCTGAATATGTCTAGGGTCCTGAATAAATTGAGAAGTGCTTGGAAAATTTCGATTGCTATTTAATAAATAAATTTTAGATAAAAAAATCCATGCGAGGCTTGAGTCTGTAATATATATGGTTAAAATCACTTCTACAATTTCCACTTCTTTTTTACTGAATGGAAAATTGAACTGATAAGAATACTTTTGACATGTCATTCGTTGGCAGGTGAGCAATCCAAGGGAGATGAAGCTCAAAGGGAGGTAAGATTTTACGACTATAATCTTGTTCTCCCCCCAATTTATAACTATATATTTAAGTCACTCGTTTCACCATAAATTATCAATTCTATGTTTTCACTAATTACATGCACCACGGCTCAATAATATGGATCAACCATCTTCTTGTGTTAAATATTCGAGTGTTGAAATTTTCAACTTCCTCTTCATGATAGCAGCATTTACTAAAAAGAAAAGTTTAAAATTCAGATGTAAATCCCAATTATTTAATATTAATTACTTGTTAGTTTAGCCATTAGAATTTTTTTCCTTATAAATTAAATTCGACTTTCCATTGCATAATATCACTTGCTTCTGTTGCTGGAACTTTGCAGAGCTAGCTGGACATGTAATGCGAAATGATTATTTGAGAATTAGACTTTTCGACCGATGTGCTAGAATGCTAAAATTGCTGTTATTTTAAATGAAATACAAGGTACTGATTTATTTATTTTCTTGCTGAAGAACATCTTTGTTGTCTTTCCCATTTCCAATGAAAACAGATTAATGTTGAAATCTTAAACCCTCCCCTCCCCATTTTCCTTTGCTCTTTCTACTGATGGATGACCTTTTCTTATTTTATTATCGTGAATCTATTGAATTAACAAGTAGACAGTTATTAGTTAATGCACGAGTAACCTTAATGTTTCAAACGTGGTTTGTTAGCAAATTGTCGGTTTTTTTGGAAAGTATGCAGCAACAATAGAAATACTGAAAATGAGGAGAAAAAATATATTCATCTTGCTTTTACATAAATATTAATAGTACAAATATGAAAAAAGTTAAATCTACAACATTCTCTAGACACTGTAGTCCTGCATACATGTTCAATAAACATCTTAGAGAGTTGAAGTTTTTCTTGCCGGTAGGGTACGACTAATTGGGAGGCAGTAAAAAAGTTTTTAATATCAGGGGTTAGAAGATCAACTGTGGTTTTGGCGATTTGCAGTTGGATTTGTACGTTTTGAATTTAAAAGGAAATGTTTCAAATGCTTGTGGCATTCCTTAGATTTCTCATGAATGAAAGCATGGCCCGTGTTCTTGATCACTACTAACTCCGCATTTTCTCCCAAATGCCTGCAACCAAAATTGGAAACTGAGCGTGTAAAAAAAAAAAGGAAAAAAAAAAAACAAACAAATTTTAAGTGAATCTGTTGAATTCAGCTAAATTTACCTTTTCAATCTGTAAGCAAGTTCTAAAGGAAAAATCCGATCTTGATCTCCCCAGATTATTAGCGTTGGCTGCAATTATGAACACAAATTTTCATCATCTTCTTGATAAATTGGCCATACTTGAATCTTCATAGATGGATTAAATGTACCTGAGTGATCTTTGGAAGGTCTGAAAGTTTTCTGTCTTTTGGAATTGCACGGAGCAATTCTTTCTTCTCCTCAATATATTGCATACACATTTCCTAATATGAGAAGATAAAAACTCTGTTTGTTGAAAATGGCTACTAATTCTTAAGAAAATGTTAATATGGTACTTACGTCGATGAAGTCGTTGAGCAAACAAGAGGGTATTCCCTTAGGCGGCTTCACAAAAACGTAAGCCACCAATTCCCTCATTTTCTCCGCCGTCTGCGGCAGAAGGATTTTGGCGGCGTCCTCCACGTCCATCACCGGAAACAACCCCGTCTTCAAATCCTTCTCCTCCAAGCACACCCCAGCACACATTATCACCACCTTCTCCACGCAATCTTTAAACTGCGCAGCCATACTGTACGCCACGAACCCACCATAGCTCAACCCCACAACAATCATCTTCTTCCCCACAGAGTTGGCATCCATAACTCGCTTAACACACTGAGCCTGAAACGACTCCGTCCGTTCCGTCCGAGTCGTGAATGACTCTCCGAAGAATACCAGGTCCGGCACGTAGACGTTGAAGTGAGGCACCAAGAGCCGGACCGTGTCGTACCATTGCCACAGAGCGTTGGCCCCGAACCCGTGTATGAGCACCAGATCCTGTCGGGTCGGTTTTGGGAGCTTGGGCACCCAGCAGTGCATTACAGTACCATCACCCAGGTCAGTGACAGTCGATCGGAGGCCCAAACTGGTTAAGCCGGATCTGAGGCACCAGTTTCTTGATGCAGTTAAGCTGAAGCATTTAGACATATCTAACACTACCACTGATTCTTTACAGTTTTACACAATTACACACACCAGAAAGAGACGTCCCAAATCCAAATTTTGGTTGGTGGAAGGGATCGAATTAAACTGTGAAAAGATTGGGTTTTGTTTCTTGTTTGAATGGCAGGCAGGGGTGGGTCAAAGGAGGTGTGATACTTTTATAGAATAATTTTGGCACGTTAGAATTGTGGTCTGTTTTAATTTTCTTTATTGACCTCAACTTTTTGTATTATTATTAATTTTCTTTACCTTGAATCTACATGAGAAAGTTCTTATTGGCTACCAAACATTGCTGCTTGGCGTGCTTCTGGATGTTGTTTGAATCTTCTCTTTGCGAAGATATATATTTATTTAAAAGAAAAGAAGATGAAAAATACAAAACAAATTAGGAAATGGAAAAGAAAATGAAGAAGAATCAAAGCAGGTTGTTTATGGTGACCTATAAAGTGATAGAATGTGGTTTTCTGGAAAGCTCGAAGCCACAAACTGTGTGGCTTCTTGATGACACGTGTCATCATCCACTTTTTGATGTGGGAATTCGACATACTTTGCCTTCAATCATGCTAGCATAAAATTTGATGAATAAAGTTAAGTGTACAACATTTGTTGACAACAATAATTGACAATTATATGCTGTCAAAATTCCAGCATGTGATGTAGAAAATAATTTTTTAAAATGGATGAATATGATGATGTTAAATAGGATGTTGTTAATCAATGCTGTCAACCAATATCGTACATATAGCATGATCCATTTGCCTTTTTTTTAATTGCATTTTTATAATTGACCTTCTACTAATTAGCACCATTGTCATTAATGACGATTTTCATTCAAAAATTCGGTTAACGTACCGTAAAATAAATCTTTAACCACTTTATTATTAGTTTGATTTGTATTTGTATTTTTTTTACTTGTCTAATAATACGAAGGACAAATAAATTTTTATGCAATCTTAACACAATTTTTGGACGAAGCATCAAATGCATGATGGACTAATTATTTAAGGTTGAAAATAAGAATACAATGAAAAAAAGTTGAAAATATAAGTATTACAATAAATAAAGATAATGAACCTTTAATGTATATAAAATTATGGTGTATTTGTAAAAAATACTAAGTGTGTGAATGAGTTGAGACGACACGATAAATTTGTGATTTTTTTTTCCCTTTTGTGAAACTTGAACAGCTCTCATGTCATTATTATTTAGTGATGTGGATTCAAATCTCATTTGGGTGAAAAGGGTGAAACTCAAAAAAACAAAAATGTAAATCGAATTGATTGTTTCTCATTTCAGTTCCAAGTTTAATTCTGCATATTGACAATTTCTTTATATGCAAGTATCCAATTTGGCTTCAGAGTATAATCTGAGCATTTATGGCATAAGATCATTGATTTTCCTGAGGATCAGAACAATGTCTTTGATCTAAATGCGATGCTGACAGAGAAAAAGAAATGTACCAAAGCCAGCGAACTCAATAAGCATGGCAAAATTTGTCTGGGTTATCTTGAAGCTTGGAAAGTAGATATGTGCCTCCAGAACAAAGCCAACAGAAAATCGATCATTAGATCTCTAATCTCAGAAGCGCAAACACACAAGTACATACAATGATCATATCTACGTCCCGAGGTATGAACATGCATTCGAGCACATGGAAGTATATCAAACAACTGAATGGTATTGAGATTGGAATAGCTAAATGGATTTCACATCAGATATCTAAAGGAAGATGGGCATCAGTGCACTAGCTTATTCTTACAATAGATTGTGAAAATCCCAGTAGCAGTATTTTACTCTAATTTTATAGTAGTTTTTGGAGTCTTGCACTCTAGCTGATTGATGACACCTATAATCAAATGAAACGATGTTACATGCATAATTTGCATAGAAACGTCGTGTACTAATATTGAAGCGATGAGCTGAATGTTATTGCAACTCAAATCTCTGCACGGTTCGACAAAATTCAAAGGAATGGACCTGCATTATTAGAGGACTGAACATCCCTTCGTTTACATTTGTCTGCACTCATGAGAATAAATATACATACTGTATAGCAAAACTACACATATGGTACAGCAATAAACAAGCAGAGGAGTATGAACAACCGGATTGAATTTGAAAAACTTCAGATATCATGAATTGTTGATCAGATAAGATCAGTGACGAAAAAGAGGCATGTTGTACAATAGATAATCGTTTCGTCCCACAGACTACTATGGACAATATCTTGTTTCTCAACCTCCATGGTAGTATATCATCACCTGTAAGGATTATCTGTTAGGGAAGTGCGAAATAAGTGCGAAAATAACACATTTTTCTTTCAGTTTCTCCATAGAATGTTTTCATTTTCTGATGCATCATTGATGATAATTCTCATGTAAGACATATCATAATTGCTTCTAATCACAGGTTCCTTAAAGAATGAATTCTATACATCATTAAATTGTGCTCTTTCATTATTAGGCAAGAATTCTGACTTTTACAATGATTTCTGGAGAAACGTAGTAAAACCAGCCAATTGATCCTTGCAGAATGCAGTTTAATCTTTATGCGAGATAGACATTAAAGTACAAATTGATTTTAACTACCAACTTGGAACAAAATGAAGTCAAGTGACCAACACAAAATAAGTAAAAGCTAAGTGATCAACTAGTGTTTTTTAACCGTCTAAAACTATAATATAAAGTTTCAATAGTTCAAACGTTTATGGTTAGCTTACTGCTTACCCAGTTTGAGAAAGCCGCCTCCAGTTCACTAGCTGGTGAGACCGTGGATGCCTTTGCAAATAAGAGGAACTGGTTCCAATACCATTGTCCTCTCCAGCGAATTGATCGGAGTAACTAGAACTCGAGGGAGACCAAACTGGAACTACACCCCCGTCCCTTTCTCTTCTACTGCTACTGGATGATTCTGTTGAATCTTCAGAATCTCTCTGAGCCATTGCAAAATTAATTTGCGGGACAGTATTGATGATTCTAACTGTTTGCATAACATCACGTACTTCTGCTCTTGGCTCTTCAGTTACATTTACATTAACATTGGTCGGTACTTCTGCTCGAATATCATCTGCTGAGTTTCTGAGATCAGTAGACGTTTCTTCATCATCGACCCTGACAAAAGAAGAAGTCATAGTAGGGACCATCTGATCCTCGTAACGTCGAATTACTGTATTTACAGGGTTGTTTCTGACAGGTTCATGGTCCGTCTCCATCTGCGTGTCTTCAGGAAATGCGATGGGGGCATATTCCGAGGAGTCTCCAAGTCCCTCTTCCATTCCATTCTCAATTGCAGCCCTTGAAGATGCTTCATGCTGCCACATCTGTGACAGTGCTTCTTGTAACCTGGCTTTTGCTGCCTCCATTTCAACAATGGGAAAAGGGTAATTGGAGCCTAGTTCAATTCCAGCAGCTTCGAGTACGGATTCTGGCGCATTCCATGGATGATGTATCCATTCAGTTGGCAATCTAGCAAGTTCAGGAAGCCATCGTCGAACATACTCTCCATTGGGGTCAAACTTGTAACCCTCATACTGTCAGATAGACAATAAAACATGTCTACAGTCTAACGTAACAGCTTCCAAAAAAATATGAGCAGAAGTCTCCACAATTTATGCAGCTTTGATAGAAGTAAACTAAGCATGAATTCATGAAAAGCTCATCAAAATACGTACCTGCGGATTATCAATACGATCCAATTCACGACCATCGGGAAGTGACCCAGATATATACTGCCAACCAAGGGCATCACTCTCGAGATCGGCATCTAATAGGGTATCCCAGAAGTACTTCATTCCCCATCTCCAAGGAAGCAACAGAACCTTCACAAAGAAACTAGAGACGACAACTCGTATCCGATCATGTAACCAGCCAGTGGCCCACAGCTCTCTCATACCAGCGTCCACCAGTGGATAACCAGTTCTGCCTTGTCTCCATGCCTTAAAATAGCTCTCGTCCACTACCCAGGGAAAATACTTTAGGTGACCAAGTAAGGGCCTTTCGTGGCTGTATGGATGATTGAAACTCATGTATCTTGAATATTCCCTAAGGCCAATACTCTTGAGGAACAAATTGACACTCTCTTCACCTGCTTTGTTCCCTTCATTGGCCCAAAGAACTTGCTTCATGCGAACATGATGAAAAACTTTTCGAACACTGACTTCTCCGAAATGTAAATGGGGGGAGAGAAACGAGGTTGTAGCACTATCAGCCTTTCGACGATTCATGGAGTACTCTATTAGTGGTCCATTGATGAAGGTCGCTAGGGCCTTATCAGCATTACTCCAGCCGGGAGACCATGCCCGTGCTAGAAGTGCATTACTTCCTTTCTCTGAGTCATCTTCAAATACCAAAGTGTCTGAAGGGCATCTTGACACATCAGCTAGAAGAGCCGATCAAAACATATTAGGGGGAAATTCACAGAAAACAAAAGAGACAGAATAATAGCTGCTCAACGTAAAGTAAATATGGGATTGAAGGTTTGTAAGTAACACGGGAAATTCAACATGATAATATTTAACATCGACATTAACATTTTTTTTTTCTATTTTTTATGGAAGCAACTATACCAAGTAAATAAACACAAAATATTGGTGCCACTAAATAAGTGGAGATGTAAAGCTGACTGGTCAATCTGTCGGACATAATGAAACTGATCACTGATAGATGACTAATATGAGGTTTAAAAAGCTTCTCCAAAGTTAAGAATATCATCTCTTTCTCACACACACCCACACATAATGGATGGATTTGATTCCTACTTTGAAAGCCACCAGCCTATGAAGTGTTATCATTTATGTATAATCTATTTAACAGTTATCTTTGTATACAAGAACTCAAGGGTTAAGACTCAATTAATACCGCTATAATTCCAAACCATACTGTAAATCACGCTGTTACCAAATACAAGGCAGATTCAAGAGATATATATCTTTATTATATATGTCTTAATATGCTAAATTGCTAGCATGCACAATCATATACTTAATC